ATTTGTAATTGCGAGTTTGTCACGTTCAAGCACTTTGTTGCCCGAAAGAACAGGGATCGTGGAGAATGGCTCATTCATTAGTTCATTCTTGCCTATTTATTGGGGAAATCTTATTAAAGCCAAAATGCATTGTCAATATCCAACGAATTTTTTATAAAATGTAGCATCGGTAACCATATAAACATTCACTGCGCCTTCTAAATATTTAACTTGCTGACTTTGGTCAAATATGCTATTTTTGGCATGTACAAGACACATTTTTATACAATTTGCAACAAATGGTTATTTAAACACATAAATATACATCACTGTAATGACAAGAGAAAGCAATGAAGATGTTGTGGGAAAAAATGAATAAAACTTTACAATATTATGGCTATATTTCTCTCCTCCGCCGTGTTTAGAGTTTATGACCCACCCAAACTCAGAAACACGCGTATCAAAATGTTCTGTTTTCCAGTTGTAAAAACGACTTGAGAGGCCGTTCATGTCCAATTTCCGACTACTAAACTCGTATTTACGATAATTCCAATAGCATGTGAAAGCAGCCATAACTTCAGAGATATACAGATTACAGTCTTGTATATTTACGTAGGCCTATATAATTATCATTTGTGATTTAGATGTGATAAATAACCATATAGTATGAATTTTACACAGTAAAAACAGTGTTTACTTGACCAAAACTTAAGAATTGTCAGCAAGCTGACTATATAAATAGCGTAATGAATGTATACACTCGTACACTGTTCATATAGTTGGCAACAAACGGAACGCTGCATTTTAGTCACAATTCGTTGCATATTGATGAAATGTCTTAGATACCGTGATTCCTATTCTTTCCGACAGCGAAACAAACTCGTAATTACGACTTCAGAAGTGCGTAGTAGGAATTTTACGATAGCACGAGGAAGGCAAGGCCCGGTAATGACACAGACGGAAAATATCGTCATATGATGAACCTACTAAACTCGTATTTACGATAATTCCAATAGCATGTGAAAGCAGCCATAACTTCAGAGATATACAGATTACAGTCTTGTATATTTACGTAGGCCTATATAATTATCATTTGTGATTTAGATGTGATAAATAACCATATAGTATGAATTTTACACAGTAAAAACAATGTTTACTTGACCGAAACTTAAGAATTGTCAGCAAGCTGACTATATAAATAGCGTAATGAATGTATACACTAGTACACTGTTCATATAGTTGGCAACAAACGGAACGCTGCGTTTTAGTCACAATTCGTTGCATATTGATGAAATGTCTTAGATACCGTGATTCCTATTCTTTCCGACAGCGAAACAAACTCGTAATTACGACTTCAGAAGTGGGTAGTAGGAATTTTACGATAGCACGAGGAAGGCAAGGCCCGGTAACGACACAGACGGAAAATATCGTCATATGATGAATCTATTTGTATGTTGCTATTAAAATTCTGATTATCAAGCAATTTTAAAAGCTCAGTCCTGCCTCTTTTTTTGTTTCTAAGTGTTTTGTAGTTTGTGGTGATTTTGTGAAATTAAATGTTTTATGTTTCATTCACACAGCAGACACTTCTAATGTGAAATCAGATTTTAAACCATATATAAATGTCATTAAGACTAGATTTGCAAAAACTAGATTCTGTATTTATGTCTTGAAAATGCAAACGTGTTTTTGTATCCTCTCATTACAGGCCTGTTTTAAACTTGAGATAAAAAAAAAAAAACACTTTCAGACAATTTTCTCCATACAGAAATTCATTGTAGTTTAGTAGTCATTTAACATTTCTACCTCGCTAACAAAATATGCCCATGGTATACCGAGGTCCCCCAGGTGGAGAGAGTTATTGCGGTGCACTTGTGCCTGCAAAATTCCGCCACTTGGTGGGGCCATCCGAGACTCCCATCCAGGGCCTGAAAGTTTTCTTTGTCCCTCGTGGCGTAGGCTTACACAGCTTCTGGACAAGCTGCGTCCGCCCTGCACGCCATGGCCATCCTGCAGGTCTACCAGGCTAAGGCGTTGAAAGAGCTGCACGAGGGCGGTCCCAACCCAGAGGTCTTGCAGGAACTGTGCTCGGCGACTGACTATGCCCTCCGGGCTACGAAAGTCACGGCGCTCGGCTACACGATTAAGTTTGCTAGACGCCCGCCAAAGTTCAGTGGCATTCTCTTCACCTCTGTGAGAGGCGAGGATGCTGATGTTCTTTGAGCGGAGATCGTTACCCTTCTCTCGAAGGGCATTTCCTTCCTCCAGCAAGGCCTGGATAGAAGCCTGTCTGCCTCTACACTGAAGGTGTACGTGACTGCCATTGCAGCTAATCACAACACCATAGACGACAGATCGGTAGGGAAACACAATCTAGTTATCAGATTCCTAAGGGGTGCCCGGAGGCTAAATCCTCCAGGGCCGCGCCTCATCCCCTCTTGGGATCTATCTGTGGTCCTTCAGGCCGTACAGAGAAATCCATTTGAGCCCCTAAAGTCAGTTGAGCTCGGTGCCCTCTCTATGAAGACGGCCCTCCTGACTGCACTCACTCCTATTAAGAGGGTGGGGGATCTCCAAGCTCTCTCCATTAACGAATAGTGCCTAGAATTCGGACCGGCAGACTCTCACTTTATCCTGAGACCCTGGCCTGGATATGTGCCCAAGGTCCCCACCACTCCTTTCAGGGATAAGGTGGTGACCTTGCAAGCTATTCCCCGACAGGAGGGGGACCCTGACCTGGCTCTGTTGTGCCCAGTGCGAGCCCTGTGCATTTATTTGGAACGCACGCAGGGTTTCAGATCTTCAGAACAGCTTTTGTCTGCTTCGGAGGTCAGCAGAAGGGGAATCCTGTCTCCAAACAAAGGATTTTCCACTGGATTGTGGATGCTATCCTTAAGGCCTATGAGGCCAGAGGCTTACCATGCCCACTGGGAGTGAGGGCTCACTCCACCAGGGGCGTCGCGGCTTCTTCAGCCTCAGCCCTGCACTCACTAGCAGACATTTGTAAAGCTGCAGGTTGGGCTACACCTAACACATTTGCAAGATTTTATAATCTGAGAATGGAACCAGTTTCATCTAGGACGTTGAACACTAGTTCTTCAACGTAGATGGCTGGTATGGTGTAGAGCTTGCTTAGCGCTTCCCCTTTTTTGAGGTGAAATATTGCGCTTATTTAGTCCAGTTCAGTTTCTTCTTAGGAACCCTGGACTACCCTTCCATCACTTAGCACTTCTTGTGTAGTTGAGTTTTGCGGAGGAACTCACTACTTGAATCTATTACATGTAGGATCCCTCGCGTGATCTCTCGTAATAGATTGGTGCTCCATATGTAGTGGCTCCTATTGTGGCCTCATATGTGTATTATCCACTGCCTTGCCCTTATCAGGACTCAGTGTTTCCCTTAGATGGACATCTGATCTGTCTTGTTTCTGTGCTTGGTAGTTCTCCCCACATGCGGAGCACATCACAGAAACCTTCCCTATGTAGTAGAGCGACCCCTAGTAATGGACTTCGACATTCTCAGTAATGGACAGTCTCCTTTCTCTCCATCAGGGAACGAGGGTTACCATACGTAAGAGAGATGTTTTCAGGTTCAGAACAGTTGAATTGAGTTAGTTCAATCGACTCTGAGTTTAGCGCATGCACCACGACTATGAAAAGATTTTTCAAAGAGGTAAACATTTTTCTTATTTTGCAAATTATCTGCCAATGGGGTAAGAAAAATATATTTAAAAAAAAATCTTGTTTCCATTTGCATTAAGATTATGTTTCTTGCCCTATGGCCAATAATTGTAATTGTATTACTTAAAATGCATTTAAATGCACTTGTTTCCCCCAGGATACAAGACTAAATATCGTATATCATTACTTGTATATAAATGCATTTAGATTTAAGAATTTTTCGATATTTGTACTTGAAATAAAACAAAGATACTAAAAGCATTTTTGCAGCATGAATGAATGATTTAAACCGCTTACGCTTTTAAAAGGCAGAGTAGACCGAAATAAACTCTGGGTTTAATGAAGAAAACCTGCTCCCGACCAGGTTAGACTCACAGAGTAAGTTATCATGGTAACTGAGTATAACTTACCTCTCTTTCAGAGCTGGCTGCTGAAGCCATGCCCACCTAGCTCGACGGTGGTGACAGCAGCGGCAATCCATCTGTCACTCAAGTGGCCACGCCCTTAATTATGCACAACTTTAAGGCTTAATATAATTTAAACGGATGAGTTATAAATAATTCCACCCCCCTCACAGTTTTCATGAAGGGCAAAATTAGCTGTAAACGTGTTTTTTCTGCTGTAAAGTTAGGCATTTTAACATGGGGAGTCTATGGGATTGATTCCCTTTTGCAGCCAGTTGATGAATTACAGTTTAAGTCACTTCCGTGCTGGCTTCACAAGAGAGAGCGGGAGGTTGCTGCTTGGAGTTTTCACTAAACCTCCTTTCTGAAACAGGCCTCAGATAACTTTAAAGAACATTGTGATACACTAAGAAATTTTTCCTAACATTGAGAGAACCTTGCCAGAACGTGGAGAACATTCCCTGTTAGCTGGTATACCTCAAGCACACAAACAAGAAGTTAAGGCGATCTGGACAATTTCAAGAATTCCTTCTTGGTTCATTGACGAAACATCTATAATTCATTTAAAAAAGGTTGAAATACTGAATTGATTCAGTAAAGTTTTTAGGGTTCAGAAATAATTTTTCCTCCGATTCCTCAGCTTATGCACTTGCTGCACTTTCAGTTTTCCCTGACTAGTCTTCTTTTTAAGTTGAAAACATATATGAATATTGGGGTGTTTATCACATTTGATGTTATTTAGTTCATGTTTGTTACTTGGCTCATGTGAGTAGCTATCTTTCTGTAGCCTTGTTTTTATTGACTGAGTAAACAGTTTTTATTGACTAGCGCAAAACTGATATTGACGCAATACCAACCGCTTTGACCTTTCCGGGCAGAGGCTGCTGTGTTTCTCCTCCCACTGGTGTTTTTCTCCTCCCTGTCTGTCTGATTCAGTCTGATGTCAGGCATCTGTTGAGAGCGGTTAATCAGAATCGACAGGATGAAGAGAAGAACAGAGACATCTAGAAAAAGAGCTGCAGGAGTCATGAGGGTTGTTTTTTTCTTCACGTGCCTTCTCTTCCAAACCGCCGTGAGTTTCTGTGTATCTGATCAAATTAAATGAATCATTCAATGATTAATAGAGTAATTCATCTCATTAACTCTGAAAATGGGTTATGACGATCTTTCTACACAGCGTAATCTTGATCACAGTGGTCTTGTTTTCCAGTAAAGCATCCTTATGTGAAGGATTGCAAAAGATTTAACAAAACAAACAACGTGATCAGGATCAGTTCTAGTATCGCCCACTTATTACACGGCAGCTTATCAAATAAATACAAAACATGCACATGTGATTTGAGTTGAAATTACTTCATGATTTTACTTCAATCTATAGGAAACATATGATATCCAAAAACACACACACACACACAAAATAGTGAAACATGAAAAATATATAATTTATAAACAAATCCAAAATGATCCCAAGTTGAAGGACATGGTTAAATAGATATCACAGATTTTATGCTTAATATTTTTACTAATTTTAGTCTAAATACACCCGAATGGATTATTGACTTTGAGAATTCTTTATAAAAATTATAATAATAAAATAAATAAAAAGTTCAGGAAGAATTAATTGCACACTCAGACACAAAATTTGTTTGGTGTTGTTCATCCTTTTGACCACCAGATGACTATGTAAAAAGCTTTGAACAATTAATATTTTCAATGCAGGTCAGAAAAAGTCTCAATGCTTTGCCAAGCTTTGCCACAAGGAAAACACTGCAACAATATTATATTCTATATTATTTGTAATCATATCCTGCAACCTATGTGACATGTCTTCTTCTAGTTTAAAGGGATAGTTCACTCATTTAATCACCCTCATGTCCTTTCAAACCTGTATGACTTTCTTCCTCTGAGGAAAAACGTCTCGGTTACGTATGGTAACCCTCGTTCCCTGAAGGAGGGAACGGAGACGTCACGTCGGATGACCGACGAATTGGGATCTCACTTAGAGAGACCAATCTATTTCGAGTGAAAACTAAGGGAGCCAATGCACATTGGCATGCGATTATTGCATCCAGCTGCCGCTGATCACAGCGTGAGTATAAGTAGGCAGCAGATGCAGAGCATATTCAGGTTTTCGCTGAGGAGCCGAGCCGATGACCCGACCTTTCGGCGGTGGTACAGGAGCTGTGGCGACGGGACGTGCCGTCTCCGTTCCCTCCTTCAGGGAATGAGGGTTACCATACGTAACCAAGACGTTCCCTTTCAGTCGGTCACTCTCGACGTCCCCTCGGATGACCGACAAATTGGGATCGAGGGCTGGGTCTGCCTCCTCCGAGGGCAGCGCTTGGAGGTTCTCCATCTGATCCCTGAAGGGAGTAGAGGGAACCTTGGGCACATAGCTGGGCCAGGGCCTCAGGGTTACCTGGGAGTCAGCCGGCCTGAACTCTAGGCACGAATCGTTGACCGAAAATACATGCTGTGAGCCCTAGAGTCAGGTCCCAAGAGGGTATAGAGGGGGACCGTGCAGGATTTAGCCTTCTCGCCCCCTTAAGGAACCTGACAACCAGGTCATGCTTCCCCAGCGACTTCCCTTCTACGGGGTCGTGGTTAGCAGCGATTGCAGCGACATAAACTTTGAGGGTGGAGGGAGACAGCCTTCGCTCCAACCCTTGCTGCAAAAAGGACAGCACGACTCTGATCGGGCATATTCAGGGGTCTTCTCGGTGAGAAGAACACCACTCAACGAACAGGTTCCACTTCAAAGCGTAGGCGTGTCTCATAGACGGTGCTCTCGCTGCATTGATGGTTTCAACTACCTCTTGAGGTAGGTCATTTAGAACCTACACGTCCCGTCCAGGGACCAGACATGAAGTTTCCAGAGGTCTGGACGTGGGTGCCAAGGGGTGCCCCATCTCTGAGTCAGTAGATCCTTCCTCAGAGGAATCGGCCAAGGAGGGGTTGTCGCGAGGAGCATTTGGGCAGTATCTGTGCAAGGAGGCTCACTGGGGGAAATGCATATTTGCAAAGGCCAGCTGTGTGCCAGTGCCGAGTGTTCCCTTGGTCAGGGAGAAGAACAACTGGCAGTGTGAGGTTTTTGGAGAGGCAAACAGGTCTACCTGAGTGGCTCCAAAACGTCTCCAAACCATCTGGACCATCTGGGGATGGAGTCACCATTCTCCCGGGAGCGCAGCTTGAGATAGCTCGTCGGCTGCCCAATTGAGCAGCCCAGGAATGTGAACAGCACAAAGCGACCTCAGATGCTTCTGACTCCAGAGGAGGAGGTGGCGGGCGAGTTGTAACATGCGACGGGAGCGCAGACCACCTTGTCGATTGATGTACGCAGCAGTCGCCGTGTTGTCCCGGACTAGGCAAGGCAAGTTTATTTGTATAGCACATTTCATACACAATGGTAATTCAAAGTGCTTTACATAAAATAAAATAAAAACAATAATCACAACAATAAAACAAGGAATTTAAAAACTTTGAAAATTATTTAAAAAAAATTGATTTAAGAGGTTTAAAATGAATTTAAGAAAACGATTATACATATAATATAGTGCAATCACTTCAGACATCGCACAGTGCTCATTCAATAAATGCACAGCTAAACAGATGAGTTTTGAGTCTGCATTTAAATGTGACTAATGTTTTAGCACATCTGATCTCTTCTGGAAGCTGATTCCAACTCTGCGACCTCCGCCCTCAAGACAGGACCATCGGCCGCCTTCACTGTTGTGAAGCGGATGCCACTGAACTTGGGGGGACGCCGGGCGACTGAATCGCATAGCCGAGCCTGACGGTTCGAAGGAGCCATCGAGACGGGCTGGGTAGCTCTAGCCAGGCTCCCAGACACCGCGCAAGTGGCATCAACGGAACTACAGGCATACCCGCAGTGGGGCAGCGTGGAAGAACGCAGGGACCCGGCCCGGGCGTCTCGTAGCCGGTCCAAGGCAGGGTCTGAGTGTGTTTAACACTGACCTGCATTCGAGCAGAGTGTGCGTGGGTAGTCCGTTGGTTCGTCCTCCCGATCCGCCCACTGCTGCTCACTGGCGAGAGAGGAGGGTGAGTGTGATACTCACTGGATCGTCCACAACCCCCCGTACAACCCGGGGACCCAGAAATAGAGGAATTGTTAGAGGAATTGCTCTTTGTTGCCACCGACCGAGAGGACAGTGGCAGAAAAAGATGAAAAGATTCTCCACCCGGCCCTCTTCCAGGGGAGGGAGTGGTGTGCTTACCATCTCCTGAAGAGCAGGTCCCTCCCCCTCTGGGTTGCCCGTCTCAGGGCCTCTTGCGCTTTCGCTTGCCACCAGGTTTGGCGGGGGCCTGGACGAGCGGGGCGGCTGCCCTGCGACCGGCTCCATGGCGCAGCAGCAGCTGCATGCCGGGGCAGGATGTACCTGATGGCCTCAGTCTGCTTTGGTCAGCGGAGAACTGCTGGGCAAGTTCTCCACCGTGTCACCGAAAAGGCTGACCTGGACTTCAAGAATCGTGTCTTGTCCGTATCGCGCATGTCAGCCAGTCACAGTCAGAAATGGCGCTCCTGGACCGCCATAGTGGACATCGCACGACCCAGAGACCACGCCGTAACCTTCGTCGCTCGTAGCGCGAGATCCCCCGCGGTGCGGAGTTCTGTGTGCAACCCACTCGACACGGGAAACCACCACCGCTGAAGCGCCGTACCGCCAACACGAAGAGCTCTCCAAGAGCGCGCTGAACTCTTCAGTCTTCTTCTCTCAGTAGAGTAGTCAGGAGCAGAACGATGTGATCGCTCGGCTCCGAAGCGAAAAGCTGAATATGCGCTGCATCTGCTGCCTGCTTATACTCACACTGTGATCAGCGGCAGCTGGATGCAATAATCGCATGCCAATGTTCATTGGCTTGTTTAGTTTACACTCGAAGTAGATTTGTCTCTCTAAGTGAGATCCCAATTCGTCGGTCATCCGGCGTGACATCGAGAGTGACCGACTGAAAGGGAACAAGATATATTTTGACATTGTAAATGTGCTCGACTACTATAGACGAATGAATCTCACGTTTTTTTCTCTTCATTTCTCCTGCCCAAAACACAACGGTAATTTTCCTATAAATAGTGTTTACATTATTGAGATTGATAGCATGCTATTATTATTTATTCAACTACAGTAACATGTTAATGGACTGATGCATATTTTCCATTTGATTAAAGTTTATTTAATCTGATTAGAGTCTGGAGAATCAACCAGAGCCTGAGTCAGAGCAAAATCCACATGCAGACTTGGAGAAAGAACAAGATTTAGTCTTGGAAGGGAGGAACAAAGTTGTGGACTTGGAGAATAAAACAGATTTAGGCTTGAAGGAAAAAACTGGTGACCTTTTGGGGGAAAACTCTGAACTAGAGTCCCACCAAACAGTGTCACCATTGGCATTTCCAAAACCCAAAATTTTATCAGAACATTTAAATCCCAACACCGACTCACAACCCAAAACTGATTCAAATCCCAAACCCCCAAAAGTACTTGATGAGGATTTATTGGGTCCGGCCCAGTGTCTGGGTCAGAAATACACATGGCTGTCTTGCTCTAAAGTGTTTTGTCCTCCATGGAGGCGATGCATCGGAGGACAGTGTGTCTGTAAGATGCCGTACAAATGTCCACGGCTGAAAAACACCTGTACTCTGGACGGATCCGTGTATTACTCCATGTGTCAAGCCAACGCCATCTCCTGCAGAACCAAGACGCCCACTTTCTCACACTTCAGCTCATCCTGCAAAGGTGAGACGTGAAGACTTGAACTTTAATCAGAGTAAAAACTTTTGTGATTAAACTTTTAAAACTAAAACATTTTCTTTTCTTAAAACATCGAGTTCTTTAATAATACAAAAATATATATATCTATATATATGCAATGGATGCTCTGCAGTGAATGGGTGCCGTCAGAATGAGAGTCCAAACAGCTGATAAATACATCACAATAATCCACAAGTAATCCACAGCACTCCAGTCCATCAGTTCACATCTGGAGAAGACAAAAGAAACGTTTTGAACTAAAATGCGAGTCCATAATCCATAATAACTCTTCCTCCAGTGAAAAAGTGTTCTGGTCTGAATCAGGAGAGAAATCTGCACAGATCAAGCACTGTTTAAACAGCTCTAAACTAATATGTGGCTGGATTTTGATCTGACAGACAACAGGAGATGGACTTTTTCACTGGAGGAAGTGTTATTATGGATTATGGACTTAAATATTAGTTAAAAGCGTTGTAATGCTGGATGTGTTTCAGCTTTTGTCTTCTCCAGATGTTAACTGATGGACTGGAGTGATGTGGATTACTTGTGGATTATTGTGATGTTTTTATCAGCTGTTTGGACTCTCAATCTGACGGCACCCATTCACTGCAGAGCATCCATTGCTGAGACACTGATGCAGTGCTACATTTCTCCAAACCTGAATTATTTTGTTAAAGGCTCTTCATAACAGTGTCTTGTTTTTTTTAAAGATAATTTTCTAAAGAAGTTACAAGTACAACTTTAAAACTTGAAACTTAATGTTTGTGTCCAGCGGGAGACAAGGTGCATGTAACTGTGAGCATCTCTAGGTTTAATAACGTGGTCGAGATAAACACTCGTTTGGGGAAAATGCTGGTATGTGGCAAAGACTGGAATATGGCTGCAGCAAATGTGGTTTGTCGAAACCCTCTGAATGTCGACAGGTAAACACACCTGCACACAAGACGTCCTTTCTCTCGACTCAACACATACTGTTTGCTTACATTGTTCTTTCTGTCTCTCAGAGGAGCAGAGAATGTGTCTAAAATCAAATATAAATCTCTTGATAAAGCTACTCAATGGCCAAATGAGTGTATGAGGATTCGCTGCATGGGATCTGAGCTCTCACTGGCCGAGTGTACGATCCATAATCCAGAGTCAATCACAGAAAACACTGAGGTGGCCGTCGCAAAGTGTTATAAAGAACCTACAGGTGCCCTTTCCTCTCGGATGCCGTCACCATGTTAATGTTTAACACTCATCTGTTCCTTTGGGTCATTTTGACCCGAAACTGATTTTCAAAAAAATTCTAAAGAATCATGTGTTGATCGTACCGGTCCAAGATTTCTTTACTTTTGTCACACTTGCACCGGGAAAAGGGTCATTTTGACCTGCATAGGAATAAATGGAATTTACGAGAAAACTGCGTTTTTTATTACATTTGATTTTTTTTATATACAAAATCTGAGACAATCCAGTAAAGATATATACCCAAACGAAGGGCTGAGACTACAGAATATTCCCAATGCAGAAAAAACTCACATACACACACACGAGTGCACACACAGATGCACAAACACACACATGGTATACACACTCCCATAGAACACATTATAATATGTTTCATGTTTCTGCTCATTTTTTTTTTTAACTTAGTTAAATTTGAGCGCTGTGGTGGAGACCAATGGATTTATATCATATTTATATTTTTAAAAATATATTTATGAAATTGTATGAATATACATACAGGGGCTAAAAGTTTCTGCTCATTTTTTTTTTTTTACTTAGTTAAATTTGAGCGCTGTGGTGGAGACCAATGGATTTATATCATATTTTTAAAAATATATTTATGAAATTGTATGAATATACATACAGGGGCTAAAGCAAAAAAATATATATTTTGACTGAAATTTTTACTCAGCCAAACCCCATTCCACAGCCATACCTGTCACACACACAGATTACAGTTTTTCTCAGTCACTTTGGTGCATTTCTCACATCACTATTTACATTTGCACAACGGTTAATGCAGTTCTCAAAACAATTAGTACAAACTGCAAAACCTAGTTGATAACCTGCAAAAGCGTGTCACTTGCTCAAAATGGATAGGTCATTCCTCAAAAGCAAGTATTCATGTCAATGAAAGTGTCAGTGTCATCAAGATGAAAAGTCCTGACACCATTGTTTATGAACAAGATAGTCAAATGGCTGTCATGTTTTCATTATTACAGTTTACTCTGTCAATGTTTTCCAATGAAAAAGTCAGATCTTGGTGACACTACCTGAAAATGCTCGAGACAGCACTATATACCATTTGCACAGCCATTTGAAAAAATACAGTAATGTTACACATTACTGTATTTAGTGAGGTAACTGAGTACAAGACACTGAATATGTATGTTTCACATTTTTACTTCTCTTGCAATGCAGCGAGGAAAGTATCTCCTCGAGTGGTGAATCCACCTGTCATCACATGCTGCATCTATGGCCGCTAGCAGGGCCATCTGGGTATGTGGATGCCGGTCATATACCTTCCACCTCCAGGAAGAGAAAAACTCCTCTATTGGATTTAGGAATGGTGAGTAGGGAGGGAGATATGCCACCAGCATCCTATCATGTGCTGCAAACCACTGTCTGACGACATCGGAGTGGTGAAAACGCACATTATCCAAAACAACAACATGCTTGCTCAGATGGTCTCCAGTTAGACCCCTCTCATTCTCAGGGATTATGTCCCTGTAAAGAGTGTCTAAAAAGTCAGCAGATGTTGTGTGTTGTATGGACCAAGACGCCGTTTTCTGAGATGGCTGCACACCTAGTAATATTCCCTCCTCGTTGGCCTGGGACATCAATGGTTGCTCTCTGTCCAATGCTATTCCTTCCACGTCTTCTACCTTTTGCCAGATTGAAATGTATGACAGTAGTGCAGTGCAGATTGTTTAGTGCTGAATTACTGTCCATTTATACACACCTGTTCTCCCGACGAAATGTTTGAATAATTGAATTTACAGTGGTTCTCCCAACATTTGACTGCACCCTTCGACCAGCCTCAGCCATCGTGAGGCCGTGATTGACAACATGAGCCACAATTGTAGCCCTGATTTCATCAGGGATCCGCCTATGTACTTGGCTGCTTCTTCTTTTATATGGAATGACTATTCAGCATTCACAAGTATAGTTAATTTTGACTGACATGACAAGCAATTGATGCATGTCCAAAAGCATTTGCAATTTGTTCGAAGGAAATAAGAAACTGCTACTATGATGTGCACAAATGACTAAATGTTGTGGAGGTTGAACTAACTGTTGTGCAAATGTAAATAGTGATGTGAGAAATGCACCAAAGTGACTGAGAAAAACTGTAAGAGCAGTTTTTTTCTTGTAATTAGGAGCACTTGTCCTCCTAATTTAAAAAATCTAGGAGCACCTTCTGATCAATAATAAAAAATGATCCTTCCTAATATGAGGTGACATTTGACTTACAGGGGTATTTTCTTTTTACTTTTGTAATGGCATAATTTTCATCTTTGTCAAATTCAAAAATGTATGTTTATAAGCTTTTTTAAATTTCTATTTAAAACAATTTAATAAGAAGTAGAATAAGACAAATAAGTTACCAATGATATGAAATTAGTATTAATAAAAAATGTATTTGTACTACAGAGGTGGCACAGAAGAACACAAAAGTGGCTTGTAGGTACATTTTCAGACGTTTAATGAGGCTCAGAGGTGGCATGAGGGCAATTAAATTCATAAATGCATGTGGAGATTAATGTTTTAAACATAAAATTTTGAATACAGAAATATTAAATGATTTAAATAACTGAAATTATACGCTAAAAATTTAACTAAATCCACCAGCAGGTGGCGGCAAGTCACTAATTTTATCACCGAATCATTCATTCAATTGATTCGTTTGAACTGCTGATTCATTCAGGAATGAATGGTCTTTATGAATGGGTTAATCATGAATCACTAGGCGCGTTTCCATTACAGATTTGTGCAAAACTTTGGCGATATTTTATAAATGTCGATAAAAAAGTATTGCGAAATGATGTTATGTGACTAAAACGTAACCTTTTGCCTCTCACGATAAGTCATGGCAATGGATTTTGGAGGGATTTTGGCTATATTTATTCAAAGGAGGCATATGCGTGTATCTTCACAGAAGCAGCAAAGACAGCCGCTTCAGAAACGTGTGTGGCGTGCGGATGGAATAAACCATAGACTGTATAAAATCATAAACACAAGCATTGAGTGGCCGTAATCAGCTTCAGTGGCCGTATCAGAGCCACACTGCACCGCAGACGTGTGCAGTGTAAATTGTCTAAGCATTAATAGTAGGGAAAGCCCCTTTATACTGGAGCGCGGCCACTTATGAAGTGTTTCTTGGAGGTTATAGTACATTGAAGAATGATCATGACTTTTTACATACGCCATGTGACCTGTAAATGCAAAAAAAACGTTTCCATTGCAGTTTTGCGAATTATTTCTTTTTTGCATTGCCTGAAAAACCACCTCATGCGAGCGTAAAAACTTTTTTGCGATATATTGGCGTTTTTGTGAAATTGACGCATTCCCATTAGGCGTATTTTCAATTCGCACTTTCAATTTGCACAATTTGAAGGGTAATGGAAACGCGCCTAAATGTTTCTTTTAATCTCATTTTTTCCAGTTGACAGAAATCTGTCATAGACTCGCTGCAATTAACGGAAATCCGTCGTAGCGACGGAGAACTTTAATCCCTGTACATATGTATAGGTTATAATTCAATTAGATAAAAAATTTTTTTTTTTTACAAATTATGGATTTTGTAATGTTTCAATATATATTTGAATCCATAAACAACCAAATTGAAGCCTCAAGATGATCTCATTTCTCATGTTTCACTTGTTTTGCTCAGTTAAAAATCTCCATAGGGTTCTATAGGCCCCTCTAGTGGCTGTAACCATAAAATGCAATTTTATGTAATTTTTCCCCACGAGATGGCATCAGAGACACTCGGTGACTCAATTCCAAGGCCATCTGTTGGTTTTTGATGAAACAGGACTGAAATTGTGTCTTTGTTCTTTTGGTGAAATAATGTACAAAAACTGCTTATTTGCATATATTTCCTAAAAATATCCAGAATAAAAGGTAAATATGATTTAAAAAAAAATCACCAAAAAAATAATAGAAAAACCTACATAAATATTTTAGAAGAAAATTATAAAAATGGTTTAACATAAGATTTCTGGAACAAAAAAAAAATTATTTCACTTGTTTTGCTCAGTTAAAAATCTCCATAGGGTTCTATAGGCCCCTCTAGTGGCTGTAACCATAAAATGCAATTTTATGTAATTTTTCCCCACGAGATGGCATCAGAGACACTCGGTGACTCAATTCCAAGGCCATCTGTTGGTTTTTGATGAAACAGGACTGAAATTGTGTCTTTGTTCTTTTGGTGAAATAATGTACAAAAACTGCTTATTTGCATATATTTCCTAAAAATATCCAGAATAAAAGGTAAATATGATTTTTTTAAAAATCACCAAAAAAATAATAGAAAAACCTACATAAATATTTTAGAAGAAAATTATAAAAATGGTTTAACATAAGATTTCTGGAACAAAAAAAAAATTATTGCCATTTTTAGCCTTCGGGTCATTTTGACCCGCGAGGGACACTTTTGTTATAGATTCGGAAGGGACGGATGAGGGTTAATGTTAATCTGTTGTTTTGACACTTCTCTCACTCACACTGATGGGTTTTCTCTGAGTAGGCGAATGTAAGAAGTTCATCTGTGCTAACGGGAAGTGTTTAATCTATGGAAAAACCTGCAATGGTGTTGATGACTGTGGAGACAACAGTGACGAGATGTGCTGCCAAAGTGAGTCTGACATCATTATTCCTGTTTTCTCATTTTCCCTTCAGTTGTTTCCTTCATGCCAGTGTTTAGAAATAAAGCACATTTTTGTATGAAATGTATTACATTTGCAATTTTGTTAACCATAATAATTCAAATAATAAAATGTACCTATAACATTAATTTCAATGTTATAATTTCAATGTCAATATAAAATAAACCTATTAATCTAAAACTCAAACACATCCAGTGCATGATGCATCCAAGATATTTTATCAGGAGTATTCAGTGCTACTTGAACAAGGGATGTCATTGGTTAATCGACGATCGATTAATTGTCGATAAGAGATGTAATCAATTAAAGCTAATGATGGTCGATTAAGCAATTTAGTTTTGAGGTGCGTGTGGCTCATGCGCAAAACACGTGCAGCAGACATGAAGAAATGGTTGTGAGTGACCGTGTCGGGGCTGGATCTTTTGCGCAAATAATTTTAGTTTGTTTGTTCACAACTCACTGCTGTGTGCGCACTTGGATCACATCATGTCACTTAATTTGTTCCCTAGATAACCCATGATTTAACTAAAATGAGAGAACGAATTAAGTCGTAGGAACGAATTCTTAATTCCACAAAATCTTTCATTTTCCCCAAACGTCATGTCGATCTCCGTAAAAATAAACTTGACGTGCCTTGTCTAACAAGCACAAACTGTGTTGAAATCGAATGTGACGAGATAAAGACTGAAACCCATAAGATTTCCATAAAATAATTAGGTTAGTTTAGGCTAACAATGCTGTCTGTCATTTTGGCAAGTAAAAAGGATATGGTTTAACTTTTATTTTTACCAAAGATGCAAAAACAGAGATTAAAAGTGAACGACAAGAAAATAAACCTGCGAAGTTAGAGTGTGAGACAGTGAGGATTTGAGAAAAGGAAAAATAAATATGATTACATTTGTGGAAATTCGTGACCAACCTGCAAAACAGAACAAAAAGCCACGTATGACTTAATTTAAATTTATGAGCTCATCGGCTACCTCTTGAAAGGCATGAATCCAAAAGCAACGTCACGATGTAACATTTGCCTGCGAACCAATTATTTCTCTTGTAAACAAAGTGTTGTACCTCACTTGTGTCATATCCACATAAAAATGTTTCATATGAGCAACAGTAGCCACTTTTCCACTGTCGGGCCAGTGCGAGCCAGTGCCATCAATGGGCCAGGTGGGGTTAAAAGCCTCAGACCTGTAGCACCGAGACTTAAATCACGCTGTGTTTCCACCGTCGGGCCAGAAGAAGGTCAGAGCAGTCCGTGAGCTCTCACCCCCATGCAATGTTCAGGAGTTAAAACTGTGTTGGTGGCTGATACGCAATCATGAAGCGCACTAGCATGCAGGGAAAATGACCTCAACACACACTCTGATGTGCAGTGTTACATTGCTGCTATTGCTGAAGGTATGCCCGCAAGCCCAGCAAAACTTCAAGCCATTAGGGCTGCTACACTGGCAGAGTATTATTACATTTGTTACTTCTGTCCCCCTCACTTCTGAAATGATGGCTATATGCCCCTGCCCACGACTTTATTGTTGCTGGCATAAAGCAGACTGATAATCCTGATTTTACTGTTTCTGCTGTGTGAAGAATGTCGAGGCAAGGCGTTCCATTGTAAATCTGGTGTCTGTATACCCCAAACACACCTTCAATGATGGAATCAGGGACTGTCTGGGAGGAGAAGATGAACTCGATGGTAACTATAATAAAATAAAAACCTTAAACTAATTTTATTTTAGCTAGTTGCCAAGGCAACTTTTTTCATTTTCATTCAGTTTAACATTTTCGTTTAGTTTAACTTCACATACTAAAATAACAGGAAGTAAATAAACTATGTAGTCATATAAAAAAAAGAACAAAAATAAATAAATAAATAAATAAAACTAAGTGACAAAAACTTTAAAATTAAAGTAAAAACAAAATATAAAAATGAAAAAAATAATTAAAAATATTAGCAAAAACTATAATAGTATATCAATGATACTAAAATAACACTGGTTTTAGTTTTAGTTAACTATAACTTTCTTAAGATGGTTAAATCTATTGGGTGATTGGAACATCCCTGTACAGGCTTGAAACACATCAAAAGTTGTTTTTGTTGCAGAAAAAATGTTTTTTGTGTTCTCTTCATTGTGTTACAGAAATTGTCAAAGCAGTAGTAAATAGAGCAGAAATACTTTTTTTTCGATCCAACATCAGGTAAGTAAAAACTCATCAACTTATACATGTATCATGTATTTTTTGCATAGCAAGTGTCTGAGACAAAAGACTAAGAGTGTATTCACATGATTTCAGGTAAGAAATCATACAGATAAATCACCTTTATGTTGTTCCAGAGATCAGAGAAATCCGCTCGTCTGCAGAGAGTCGGCTGCAGTGTGGCGTTCCCAATATGTAGTATGAGTACAAACAAGACAATCACCATTCACGCCGCAAACGTTTGGCAGGATGGGAAGAGACCTTACTGGTCAGTCCAGACACTCAACCATACAACAAACAACTACTGAACGATGCTTTATAAAATTACTAACAAAACACATCATAAACCAAGTACCAAAACCAAGTCAAATCAAATTTTCATTGTCCAATGTGAAACAATTCACATTCTTTTAAAGCAGCTTCACAAGTCATGATGCTAACGTTTATAATACCTACACCGTGTCCTAACCAGATGCAATAAAATCAATCAAATAGCATAGCCAATCAGAAGAGTGTGTGGGCAAAGCCTCTCTCTGCATGCAGACTGTACCAGAGTAGATACAGAGTAGTAGATAATCTAATGAACACATATTAAACCATTTTAAAATGATTAAAAACACACACTAAACGACTGAAACAATATTTGTCATGGAATACACTTGTTTGTTCACACTAAACACCACTGGATGCGCCTGCCCCTCGACCTTTCACCATTGGATGCGACTGCCCCTCGACCTTTCACCATTGGATGCGACTGCCCCTCGACCTTTCACCACTGGATGCGCCTGCCCCTCAAACCCGTCACCACTGGATGCACCTGCCCCTCAAACCCATCACCTCTGGATGTGCCTGCCCCTCAAACCAGTCACCACTGGATGCGCCTGCCCCTCGACCCTTCACTTCTGGATGCGCCTGCCCCTCGACCCATCACCACTGGATGCGCCTGCCCCTCGACCCTTCACTTCTGGATGCGCCTGCCCCTCGACCCATCACCACTGGATGCGCCTGCCCCTCGACCCTTCACTTCTGGATGCGCCTGCCCCTCGACCCATCACCGCTGGATGAGTCTGCCCCTCCTCCTTTCCCCTCTGGATGC